ACGTGCGTGTGGGTAGGACACAGGCAGGAACTCGCATGGGGCATCCTGCCGCTGGGAAAACACAGGGCACAGAGCTGAGCCAAAGACACTGGGCCACAGCGACTTAACTGAAGTCAGCGGTGCTAATGCAGACTCAGCGCTGGTGTAAGGGAGGAAGGTTTGGCCCCCCGCCCGCTCCGGGTGGCGCGCCGGGTACGGCTGGATTCCCACCTCTGCTGGGAGCAGGGACGGTGGATGAGCAAAGCCAGGATGAGGTTTGTGGCATCAGGACAAAATGGGGGAAAAAACCCTCTGAGTAAGGGGTGCAGTGCAACACCTTCATCCTAATGCTTCATCCCTCACATTCCTCTCTTTTAACAGGATCTTTCCTGGTTGCCTATAGAAGTATTTGACTTCAGTGCTGCTTTAGGAATCAGTTTCTGAGGCTCTAAACCAAAGCCCATACTCCAAGTTTGTACTTCACCAGGCATTGGGTTACAGATGTGTTAGCAGTCGGTTTTATTTGAAGCTTTATGAGGCTGGGAGTTTGCTGCAATTAGCAGTTCATTGAAAGCTCTCCAGGGGCAGGGCCTATCTTTTCCTCCTGCGCTGCTTCAGCATCCAGCAAGAAGGGGTCTTGTGCGTGGACCTTCGCAGACAAGACAGCAATTGCGCAGCGGACGCCATGCTTGTCGGACGCCAGTCTTGGCCAGAAGCATCGTTTCTGGACTGCCCATAAGCCTCTGTGGCATCCCCCCTGCACGCTGCCTTTGCCATCATCTCTGGTCCAAGCAAAACAGCTCTAAAAAATCTCCGATACCGTCAGAGAATATCTCCAAGCAGCCCCAAAAGCGCAGTGCATGTTTTGAATACTAATACTGAAGGCTCAGCGGAAAAAAATAACTGGAGTGCCCTCTAGTGACACACGCTCCAAAATCTGCCCAGCTAGAGCATCATTGCGAGGGGCTGCGGGGCGCCAGGTCCGAGCCCGGGGGCCACCGCTGGGGCTCCAGGTTGGGGCCACGGGTGGCAAGAGCTGGAGGAGGTGAGGGGCCTGGGGCTGGCGGTGGGGGTGAGCGTGAGCCATGGCAGGCCTTCAGTAAGGTGGGACTTCATAAAAATAACCTATGGCCCATGTTGTCCAAGGCAGTCCTCTGTGCAGCTGTCAGAGGCAGGTGTAAATATTGAGCCGGCAGCCTGTACGTGCAAGCCTGCCGTTAAAAAAGCCCACCATTAAAATGTACATTGCCTTCACTGAACTCCCTTTTACTAGCCCTACTTGCTCAGCAACAGCAGCCTCGTTGTGCCAGTCTCTCTCATTCTTCAGCTTTTTCCTGACTTGAATTCATGCTCCCCTGTGACACAACACTTTCCATGGAAACCAGCTATAAAGTCACAGGCACATGTTCCTCACCATTCTGTCATCAGCTGCCCTTTCAAATAAATTAGGCAACAAGGGCCGTCAGCAATGCTTTTACTCAGCTTGTTTCCATTGCATCCGCAGTGCCTGAGCTCCTTGCGAAAGCCGGCTGTGCAGAGCCGCGCTGCGGCCGGCAGGCCAGGCACCTCTGCTCCTCCCCCTCTGCGCACAGTCGGACGCACCGTGTCCACCCCAACGCACAGCCGCACGCACAGCCGGGGCAGAGAACATCTGTGTTCTTCGAACTCCGCCACCCTGCACAGGGGAGTGTATCTGCCCTGGGAAATTTCCTAGTTTTTGGCCGCGGGAGTTTGGCATATCTCTCCATTCATGCTACTGGAATATATTCTTAAGGCATGCTCAGATAAGAGCCTACCTGTTCCTTGGCTTCTGGGTGAAAATCCATTTACTGGAATAAGTCAAGTGAGGAAATGAACGGCTGAGCAAATTACCTAGTGCTCTCGGCTGACAAGCCCTTATTCTGCATGCGGGTTGGGCTAGCGCTGTTGTTGCTAAATGGTGGAGTCAATTAAAATGGGTGGTTTGACTGCCAGTATATCTTCCGGATCCAATGTGGTTGCTTGGAACAGAGAGAGGCTGTTATGCGATAATAAAAATTATCATACTGAGTAACATAACAAGAATAAATAGGTAGGAATTGCATAATAATGCTGATGGGAATTATCATGTTTATTACAGCCAAGCGAGACAAGAACGAAGCACTGCTGAGCTGATCTTGTAAACTGTCCTTGGCCTAAAGAGACTGCAGTCTAAATACACAGGGTCTATACAGTGGTCAGAAAGATGAAGACAACACCAAAATTAGCTACATAAAGTTCCTCTAGAAAGTCTGCAGGTTGTGACCTGCTTAGTCAGAGACACTGGACTGTCTAATGCAGTCCAAGTGTTCTGCGGGTTTTCCACATTTTGATTTCAAAACGAGCCTAAATTAAGTGAGGGCTGACTGGATTATTACTTGGCGTTGGTCTGCTGAAGGATGAGGCTTTTTTATGCATGACCAGTTTGCAGAGCTTTTTCGTTTCTGTTGCTCTTTTGCAAAGCATTTAAACATATTGACTTGGATCCATAAAGCAAACCCCAAGCATTAATTCCAAACAGAAAGCTTTTTTTTCCAGAAAAAAATCTGGCTCTGTAGATGTAGCCATTGTAGATGCAGCAGTGTAGATGCACTTATTTATAAAATAGCATCCTTGCAGCTTTGACCCCTGGAATATTGCAGCTGCCTTGTGAAGTGTATTTTTCAAGCCCTTTCTGCCCAAGAGAAGCCATGACTTGACTGCTGTGACCACCAGGCCTGGTGGTATCCCAAAGGAGGACCTCAGCACGAGTCACTCCCGGGTCAGGATCAGCAGGCCATTCGCTCCCCAGCCTTGGGGGACAGCACAGCTATTGCCAGATGCAATCTGCACGCCTGCATTGCACTGCCGAGAAGAACAGTCAGTCTCTATTGCATGTCTGTGTCCATAAAATGGCTCATAAATCACACTGGCAGCAGCCTGGTGAGGGGACAGAAGCCTGAGACAGCGTCTATCCATCAGTTCCAACCAGAACCCTCTTTCCATAGGGCCATTTTTCCTGCTCTTAAATCAAATTGACCACATGAAAATCACTGGGAACTTTGCCATCAATTTCAGGAGATCAGGATCTGGCTTTTTTTTTTTTTTTTTGAAAATAACTGGCCAAAAGAGCCCTGGTAAGTTGGTTTGGACAATCTTGTGTTATCTCTGACCTCCTTCCCCCAGATCTCTTCCAAAAGGCTTGGGCTCCCCTGCAGCAGCAACAGGAGAGGTTTAAGGCCCTCTTTCTGTCGGTGGCCTTTATGTCTTGTCCTACTGCTTAGAGCAAATGCAGACGGCATTGGGACCGCACCAGCTGATACACCCCATCTCCTGCAGATCCTGCTCCCCACAGTGGGAAAGTGTAAGGGAAAAGAAACCATGTAGGCAAAGCTGCTGGCCACTTTCTGCCTGTCAAATGTCATGTCTTTCCAGGATGTTTCTTCATCAAAACAGTTATGAATAAGATGAGTGAGTTAAGCAATAAGAGGCCTCGTTGCTGCCTCTGCCTGTAGCTCTCCAGCCTGACTAACTCCTAAATAGATGGCTTGACTGTCAGAGATGCCGAGGGCCTGCGACTCCCAGGTGAGTTAGTCAGAGTTTCCAATGCTTAAGATATTTGCAAATGAAACCATGGGGCCACTCCTCCTTTCATGCAAGTGGACATGTGAGAACAGGCCCAGCGTGGGGACTAGCTGACTCTGTAACTCAGAGCCACGGGCTTTTCCTTAATTTATAGGTCGAACAGCCTAGCTTTGCAGTTTTAGCCCCAAAGATGGAACCTGACATATTTTTACTTTCCTCACCCCCACTAGCAAGTTAATAAAAATT